TCTCTGTTCCCCTTGGAACAAGACACACCAACCCGTTCGCTGTTTCTAACTTTGGTCTGGATGCAATTAAAAAAAGGGTCAAGCCCTGGCAGGAGAGCGTCTCGGCAGCGCGAGTAGTTCTTTTCTTTGAGACCTCCCCAGTCCCTGTTGGCGAGGGTTTCACCGCCTCCGACCCCTTCTTCCCCTTCCCCTCCTCGCCCCGTTCCGGTGCTACGCCGCCGCTGCCCCATCGCCCCAAGTGCATCGAGGTCCTCCACCCTGGCACTGGGACGTCTCTTTAAAAGAAAAAAAAAACCCTACTGGCTGCACTTCAGCCATTCCGGTGCTCGAGCTCGGGGGATCAAAGTATTTTGCACTTTCTCGCGAAAGCTAGGCAAGCCAGCTCTCTCTCCCTGGCGTTCGTGTGCGGGTTCCCGCGAGCTTCTCTCGCGGCGTGCATCGATCGTTCGAAATAAATGCGACGTAAGAGCGGTATTCTAGCGCACTTGGTAATGGTCGAACGGACGGTAACAGATGGCCGTCGATATATTGACAAACTTCGCAAGGGGGAAACAATGGGAGGAGGAAGAGAGAGGCAAGTCTCTACCTTACAGATCCCGCGTGTCTTTGTCGAACGAAAACTGGCTTTCCTCTGGCCGAACGTCGAGTTTCTCTTTCTACCGTTCTTCCTGTCGGGCTTCTTCTTGGAGAAGGATCGCGATGTCGAGTGAGCACGACGACGATTTCGTTTAAGGGATTGGCTCGCGATGCTTGCGGGGATGTCGAAGACTTCGATATGGGAAAATGTAGAATTTCTATCCCCTGTTGTGTTTTTCTTTTTTTATATTGAACCAAGTATTTCAGTTCTCGATATGGGGAATTCAACCCTTATGTCAATAACCAGAATTGTCGTCTACTTTATCGTCCAATTTTAGTAGTTTTCTGAAAATTCTAAACTTGAGGCAAACGCGGATAGGAAATGTGCTTTCACCTGGAAGATCAAATATTTTAAATGAGAATTATGCAAAAGGGTACCCGATTATTGACATAAGGGTTAAAAATGTCTATTATCTTTATTTAGTATTTTTTACATTATTAGAATTCTTTCCGACTGAATTCGTTGATTTTATTAAGATTTTTGAGTATTTGCCAGAAAATTATTTCGACGAGTGATCTATTTCTATTTTTTTTAAAATGATATTTTGATGGCACCCAAAAGTCGGAAAGTATTGTTTTTATTAAAAAGTAAGTTAGTTTGGAAGATTGTACCAAAAAGTGTTTGATGTTTCACGACTGTGAGGTAGGTGCAAATATAATCATCCTCGGTGTTTCCTCAAAAAATATGGACACAACGTAAGCACAAACAGTGCGCGTAAGCGTAACCTGAATTATTTCTGAGCCCGATCCAAAGAAGAACACGGTAGATACGCAAATGAAAGTTTCATCGCTCCACGGAAACGCTGCACCATCT